TTTCAAACACCAAGAGTAATACTGTTTCTGAGCTATTTCCCCCGACAAACACTGCTAAGGTATTTATGAACCCTAGTCAGTTGTAGATGACTGAGCCTAAATCCAGCTAGGTGCGGGTAATTTTCCGAGAGCACAAGGCGAGGCAGATGAAGAACCCAGGGAGAATCTGCCTGCTGACTCACAGTAGCATCCTGGGCAGCATCCGTGCTAGGCACCGAGTCATCTCCATGGATACAACTTTCACAACCCCAGAGTCCATTTCCTTCTGCCCTGCCCAGTGCTACCGTCCTATGCCAGGGTTTTCTGACCTCTCACCTGAACTATTGGCAATAGTTTCCAATCTTGCTTGAGCCGGGTCACCCGCACCGTCACCTGTCCTCACCGCAGCAGGGAGGTTTAGTCCTCTAACACACACAGGGCTCATGGAACCATTCTTATGAGAAACTTTCAGTGACTTCCTTGTGCATGATGGAGTAAGTATTTTACTAACAACCTTTAGTACAGGACCCTTGGGCTGTCCGTGCCTCGGTAGAGTGTTCACCTCAAACCACCACGTATGCTGGCGCTCTGTACGCTTGTTGCTCCACGTCTCTGTAAATATGTCTTTCCTGAGTGGATCCGTTCAAAAGTTACCCAGCCTCTGGAGTCTCCCTCATCCCTACTGTTCCTCATTAGCCCTTTCTCACTGTGGTTCTTACATGTGACTATCTCCATTCTGCTGAGCTCCTGGGAGGCAGTAACCTGATCTTTTATTAGTCTTTCGATTCCACATGGTAAATATTCAGTGGATTCTCTTAGAAGGGGAGGATTATTTCCACCAAAGTTTCTGCGTCAGTGTGTGCTCATGTGCTACCTACTGACTTTTCGGTCAGCGGTAGAGTGGTGGTCTATACGCTGGTGGCCCCATAAGACTGTATCACTTGGCGTTGTCTCTGTGGTCATAACATCAAGCGTAGTTCATTATGGACACGTTTATAGTGATCCTGCTGCTGGGGAATCTAGACCAATGTCATGTACTGGTGTCTTAGCTTTTGATAAAGACGTGAAGAAAAATGTTCACAGCTGTACGGCTGTGTTTAATAAATAGTTATCACACAAGAGTGCAAAATCAAAAGTTTACAAGGTAAAGAGCAATAGTAATGGACCTGGAGAGATGGATCAGCAGCTAAGAGCACTGGCTGTTCTTCCAGAGGATCCAGGTTTGATGGCCAGCACCCGGAAGGTGGCAAACAACTGTCTTCACTCCAGTTCCAAGGGATCTGACACCTTCTTCTGGTCTCTGAGCGAATACCGATTGCATGCCTATGATACACAGACAAACATGTAAGCAAAAAATGCTCGTATACATAAAATAAAATTATAAAAATATAGCAAACTAATGTTGAATGATTGGTGAAGAAGTAGCATTTATTTATTTATCTATTTATTTATTTATTCAATTAAACAGTTCTGTGCACAGCTCGGGCACAGTCTACAATGGTCTACAGTACCGCCCCAGGCCTTCACATGAGCTCTCCGTCTCACCCAGAGCAGTTTCCCGTCTTTTCACTCTCTCTACCCTCTTTTCACTGTACAGGTGCACAGATGCTCACCACCATGCCTTAACGGCCCACGGCATTCTGCACTAGAGCACGCTGCTCTGGTTTGTAGTCTAGGACCAATAAGAATGCGTCGAAGAGCTCAAGCACGCAGTCACCTGTGCCAGTTAGGTTACTGCGAATCCAGACTGATGGCCACACACTGATAGAACTGCCTAAGGATGCGGTTCTCGCGCTGGAACCCCGCTGACAAAGAAGCCAGAGCTATATTATTAGTTCAAGACTATAGTGGTTAATCTTCATTGTTCGCTTCACCAAAGACACCTAGAAAATTTGCCAAGTGCCTTCTAGGTGTGGTCGTGAGGTTATCTCTAGAGTCAACTCATATGTCAGTCTTCAGACTGAATAGGTAAGGCCCACTCTGAATTGTGGGCAGCTGGAACCTAGGACAAAAAAGAGGAAGAAGGGGCACCCATATTTATTTGCACACTGGGCTCTCTTCAGGTGGTCCGATATTTGCCGCTGCTGTCATCCTAGACACTGGACTTGTCTTTGAACTTGACCCTTCAGGGGCTTCCCAGCCTTCTTCTGAGACTTCCAGCTTCTTGAATTAAGACAATATTGGTCTCTGCAGATCTCTAGCCTTCAGAAGGCCATTGTGGGGTTGTATTGTTGCATGGAGGGCCCACGTTGGGGACCAAGTTGTTGTAAGGAGGACTTACTTGATCGTCCTGGCTGCCCAGAACCAAAATAATCACACAGAAACTGTATTAATTAAATCACTGCTTGGCCCATTAGCTCTAGTTTGTTATTGGCAAGCTCTAGCATATTAATTTAACCCATTTCTATTATTCTGTATATCACCACGGCTCCATTGCTTCTCTCTGACTCTGCCCTTCTTTCTCCCAGCATTCAGCCTAGCTTTCCCTGACTACCTAAGTTCTGCCTTGCTACAGGTCCAAAGTAGCTTCTTTATTCATTAATGGTAATCAGAGCACACAGAGGGGACTCCCACATCATTATACAACCTTTTGTCATGTGACCCTATCTGGTCAACCCTTCTTACTGTTGTGGAATATTATTTTAAGATGTGTTACATTTGTTTATGCTGTGGAATATTTGTTTAATGATGCAATGATGTATTGCATTCTTCTATATTGTATTTGTTTAACTCTGTGAAGCTGTGTTACTTTGACTGTCTAAAACACCTAATGATCTCATAAAGAGATGAACGGCCACTAGCAAGGCAGCAGAAAGGATAAGTGGGGCCAGCAGACAGAGAGAATAAAGAGTAGGAAAAACCTGGGCAGGGGGCAGGAGAGAAAGAAGAGCAAGAGCAAGGAGAGGAAGATGGCAGGGACCAGTCACCCAGCCATACAGCCAGCCATGGAGTAAGAGTGAAAGTAAGGTATGCAGAAGTAACAAAAGGAAAAAGCCCAGAGGCAAAAGGTAGATGGGATAATTTAAGAAAAGTTGGCTAGAAACAAGTGAAGCTAAGGCTGGACACTTATAAAGAATAATAAGCCTCCATGTGTGATTTATGTGGGAACTGGGTGATAGGCCCCTGAAAGAGTCAAAAGGGCAAAAAATCAAAACAACCAACATCTTACAATTATACATATACATGTACATATACATTTATATCCATACATATATACATATATGTGTATATACATCACTGATATGATCCTGACTGATAAATGTTTTACTTTGGATATCAAGGTCTTTTACTTCTGCAGTAGAATCTTCTCTAGAAATTTTCTTATATATTGAACTCCATAACCAAAGTAATGATAAACAGACTCTAACTGCTGAAGTGAGTTGACAGGAAAGTGGCATGAATTCTCTCCTTCACTGTGGTTGCTAAATAAATATTGGAAGTTTGGAGAGAATCTTTAAAAGATTCCCACCACCAATGTTTATGCATTTGCATAATTTATTAGATAACCAAGCTTACAAATTGCAATTAAGCTGTCCAGGCATCTCGAACAAGACTGTGCACGACCAGCCACAATGACCTGCCCTTTATTGTAATTAAGAACACACTGGAGATTTTTGCGCTTTGTTTGGGATTTTTGAAATCATAGAGAAATGAGATTAAAAATTCATCACTTAAAAATGACATGAATTTCTCTTTCACTTTCTGTCTGATTTAAACTGTTTTATGTGCAGTCCATATCAATTACAGCCTTTACAGATCCCTGGCAAATGTCAGAATCGGTGTTTATGATGCAAGAGCAGAGCAAGAATATCAGAAATTATCAGGGATACTATTATTTTAGAAAAGAACCTCGGATGAAGGGGAAAATACACAGGCCCTTTAGGAGCAGACTGGGCAGTGGGTAGGACTCTGTCTTCCTCTAACACATGATAACATGTAATTATAGCATGCAGTTCATCTACGGGCTGCTATTCCATTGAGGATTGCTGTCGTAAACTAAGCTAGATTTTTTTCTTAAAGTCTATCACAAATTTTCTCTGTGTTTTGTGCTGTATGTGGGCTGGGAGGTACAGGATACAAGTGGGAAGTATAAAAGTACTCAACAACTGGTTAATTTTTAAAAGAGGTCTGGGGAGATGGCTTAGTGGATAAAACACTTGCCACACAGTGTGATGGCTCCTGGTCAGATCCCCAGAGCTCACGTAAGCGCCAACTGCATGTGGCTGCCCACCTGTAAGTCCATGGAAAATAGAGGAAGATGAGGCCAGACTAGTGCTATCCTACCCACCAGCTTTAGCTTCAGCTGAGAGATCCTGTCTCTACAGAGAAGGTGGAGAGTGATGCAGGAAACCAGTCCCGTGCCTCCCCACACACATGAACATGCATGCACACACACTGACATGCACAAAAAGTAAAGACTTTTGTAGGTACTTTCATGGTGACAGTGTCTTGAATTCAGCCTTACACTGCAATCTTGGCAGAGACGAAAAACTTAATATCAAGAGCGACTTTTTACATGACTGCCCTGTGAGATCAGGATGGAGATCTGCAAACAAGTTCTGCTTGCCGTCACCTAAGATGCTGCCGTCACCTACGAAGTTGCCGTCACCTTACTTTGGGCGGCTTGCTTCCTGAAGTCTGAAGAAACAACATTTCTTATACAGTTACACTGCACTGGACGAGAAACAATGTTGACGTTTCTTACAGTTACACTGTAGGACTGCATTCCGAAGGAGCCTGTCACCGAGTTCTTTCCAGTCGCTCCTGGAGGGCATGGCTCTGAGACCAGGCCTGTGCCTTTGCATGTGTTGTTGACAGCTGTGGGCTGTAGACCGCCCTCCCTTCAGAACCCCTGCTAAACGGGACTTGTAATCCCCTTCCCACCCACGCTCTTACTCCCCAGGGCAAGAATGTTGACTCCTGCGCTCTGTCACCTGTCAGAATCCATCCTCCTGTCACTGGCTTATATGGACAAGTCGGCCCAGGGTCATGTGACCTTCGGTTGCTAAAAACAGCTCCATCACCTACTCCGAACCAGGGCCTGAAACAATGTCCTCCATAGAGAGAAACATAAAGGACACTTGATCGCACAGCCCTTGGAATTATTTCCAGGAAATACTTGCCGAAGCCGTCCGGGAGCTCCCGTCCCCTGGCAGCACCCTAGGGACGGCCAGGAAATGAGCGCTTCTTTGAATTACAAGTCTTTCTCCAAAGAGCAGCAGACCATGGATAACTTGGAAAAGCAACTGATCTGCCCTATCTGTCTAGAGATGTTCACGAAGCCCGTGGTCATTCTCCCCTGCCAGCACAACCTGTGCAGGAAATGTGCCAGTGACATCTTCCAGGTAGGTTTGTTTGGAATCTGGAGGGTGTGGAGTGCCCTCCATCCTGCATCAAGGGTTTGAAGTCAAAGCCGGTTCCCTTAGAGCGTTAAGGCTGTTTTCAGTGCCTTTGAATCGTTTCCCTGGGTTTGGCTGTCGAGTCCCTTCCCACTTCCAATCCATTTGTGTTTTAATTCTAAGAACCATATTTGTCATTAGTAAAACAAAACAGGGGCACCGAATCCGTTTAAAATTTGAAAATGAGTTACCGGCCAGGTTATGAGTGTTGGAGCATCTGGTTGAAACTTGGGGTGATGAAAACACGGGATAGAAAAATGCTTCTTGCTGACGAGGGTGTACTGTAGGTTTGGCTGTGGATCAGGGGAGGCCCTGGGTTCCAGGACCACTTGCAGGAAGCTGAGGAGTCCATATTGTGCCTAGTGTCAGAGAGTGAAAACGGTCTCCAGAAGGCTCCCTGTGGCATTGCTCAGTTTCTTTTTTTTCTTACTTGGCAAGAACAGGCCTCTAACCCGTACTTACCCACGAGAGGAGGGACCACTGTGGCGTCGGGGGGCCGGTTTCGCTGTCCCTCCTGCAGACACGAGGTGGTGTTGGACAGACACGGGGTTTATGGACTTCAGAGAAACCTGCTCGTGGAAAACATCATCGACATCTATAAGCAGGAGTCCAGCAGGTAAGAGCGGCTCCGAGAGGCAAACCTCATGGCTGCTTTGCTTTCAGCTCAATGGGTGGATGCACTACGTGTTTGTTCTTTAAAAGGCTTTTCCCTGCCAGTCCTTCCCAATGACATAGGGGTGCTCACGGAGGAGAGAAGGAAGCTGGTGAGCCTGCTTCAGTGCCATCAAAGGCAGTCATGTTGGAAGAGGTGTCCTGCCTCCCACAGCCTTGCATTACCTTCAGTTTAGACGTATTGGCACATTGTAGGCTCATTGTAAGTCCAGATTCTATGTTACAAGAAAACTCTAGTACAGACATGTATATAAGGCAAGAAGCATCAATGCCCCAAATACCCCAGGTCCCAGTTGCCTTGCCTTAAAGTTGTCTAAACAACAGCAATCTCACCAATTCAAACATTCTGACACCATCGTTTGTCCTAATATTGGTTCTATGGAGTGCCCAAGGCAAGAGATAATGCCGGTTTTCAGGAACTTCGTCTGCAGAAATGGGAGCGGAAACGAACGTCCAGCTGTTTCCCTACAGCTGCGTCGTCTTAGCACCCGCTTGCTGAGTGACTGGCGCGTCGTCTGCATTCATTCACTGAAATATTCAGAAAGGTTTCTTATCATCACACCACACAAGTTACACCATTCCTTTCCAAACGGTGAAACTGCAGTTTATTCCTAGAAGGCACAGTCTGAAGAGCCCTCTCTCAGTCCTGCATAGGTCATGTGAGTTCAAAACCGCAGTATCCGGATGGAGATCACGCAGAAATGGACCCGTCGTGACCCGTATTATATGGGGCACGTGCGTATGGAACATCTGCAGGGTTGCAAATGCCATGCGCCCTTTGCGGGAAAGTTGTTCCGTTAATCTAACGTGTAATTATTGCAATTATTATGCCCATTAGTTTCTGCTTAAGATTCAGAGCTAAATTAGATAGCACCAGGCTATAGATGGAATTGAGGAATTGCTGATGACATATTGTGGCCACCTGTTTTCCTTGCTTCCAAATCTTTTGACAAGAAGGAAAATGGTACCAGAGTTACGGATCTGATTCCATGGTATTTCATTGTCTTAAAATTCAACAGAGGTATCCCAATGGGTACATCCATAAAATGCTCCCATGTCTGGGGTTTAGGGAACATTGCAGAAGAAGGGGTGGAAAGACTCAAAGAGCCAGCCGATCAGGGAGTTTGCTGTGAGACTGTGTCAGAAGCTACACACATAACTGCCCCCACAACATGATTGCCTAAACATGAACTGAGCAAGGACAAGAAGGGACATGCCAAGGTGTGTGGGGAAAGACCACGAGGCTTCAGATCACAAAGAACCACAGGCAACGAAGAGATGTTGAGAGTGGGAGAAATAGTCTTTCCCAGCAAAGAGCATGCAAATTGGTTACCCAATTCCAAATGGTCAGTCCTGAAAACGTAATAGGAGTAATGTATAGATTGAGCAGGTTTTATTTATATATATACATATATACATACATATAGGTACATAATGGCAATTTAAAAAGAGGTCGTGAATTTGAAAGAAAGGAGGAGTAGATAGGAGGGCTTGGAGGGAGGAAAGAAAAGGGAGAAACGATGTAATTATATTATAATCTTAGAAATAAAAAAAATCGGAACTGCACCTTGTCTCCTTATGAGATTACCCTGGCAACTGATAACCAGCCAATTTTTAAAAGGCATTTATGTGGCTATGGCTTCAGTATCACATACAGTGCCTTTTCAGAACAGGGCCTCTGCGATGCTCACTCCTTACACAGCACAGAGAAATGCCCCACCGACAGGCTCTGGGTTCTATTTATTGCCGTTGTTTTTCTGTCTCACTGCTCACCCGGTGGGAACTTCAGACATGTCCGTAACTGCATTTGCTCTGAAATCTAGAGGACAGCAAGTGGTGAAGCTTGTCGTGTTAGTTCAACTACAAGACATAGCCTGTCTTTCCATAAAGTCCGCCTGATGCCCCTTGAGAGGATGGGGAACAAACTATACAAAAACAATGAGCCAAATCTCTTCCACTAAAGCAAGAGCCAACTGGAAGGTTGACAATTTTGTGATTATAAGATTCTTACATCGTTTCTTAAACTCAAGCCGCGTTGGGGTGTTTTTTACATGGTAGTTGTCTAGAAGGGCTTAGCCACATCTAATTTAGCTGTTCCTGAAGTTTGGACGTCATACCAGACTTGAACCCCAAGGCTTGGGATATATTAGATGACCTTAGCATAACCTCGGGCACACAGAATAAGCTAACCCCAGCTCTAGTTTTTGGCAGTGTCAACAGAAAGGGAAAAGGCTACCGTGATGGACTTTGAAGTATCATTCAACTCTGGCCTCTTACAGAACAGCTGGGGTCTTGACAAATCCTGGCCTTAGCTAGCATTCTGCATGGTGATGCACTATCCACAGTTTGGGTTGGGCAAGAGAAGCCACCAACTTGGTTAATGTTTTCATTGAACATAGAGATTCATTTGTGGCTATAAGAACCAAAATGGCTTTGTATTGTGTGTTAGACTCTTGTTCAGATGTTTTACCTATGAATAGGTGTTCCCAATAGTCCACTGAGGAGGGTTACAGTATCCCTCTAACAAAATTTTTGAATGCTTATTCCTGTGTGTGTGCACATGCATGTGCATGTGTGTGTGAGATATGCATGTGTGCATGTTCACGTGTGGGCAGGTGTATGTGCACATGTGTGTGGAGGTCAGTAGTTGATCAGACAGTCTGCTCTGTTACACTCCACTTTATTTTTTAAGACAATATCTGTCATCAGAACAAGAGCACAGCTGCCTAGCAAGACAGGGCTTCTCCTTGGTGTCACCAGGGTTAGACCACAGGCGCATGCCACACATTGCCTGTCTGTTTTTAAGGATGCTTAGAATCAAATGCAGATCCTCACACTTGCATGGCAAGTACTCTATTGACTAAGACATTTCCCAGCCCTTTTGAACTGCTCCAATAGGAATGAAATACATAAATATTTTAATTTTAAGAGAGTCTTAAGCAGGACTACAAGGCCTCTGGTAAGGGTTGTTCCCACCTTTCTGTCGCACGCCCTAAACTGTCACTTCCCAAATGCAATGACTTTTAATTCTGCTAGCTACTTCCTGCTGTTTGTCACCAATGATAATTGTGTTACTGGTTTATTTTTGAATAACATTTTTAGATTTATTTACTTTATGTGTATGAATGTTTTGCCTGCATGCATGTATGTGTACTATGTTATGGGCCTGATACTTGTGGAGGCCAGAAGAGGGTGTCAAATCCCCTAGAACTAGAGCTACGCATGGTTAGGAGCCATCCTGTAAATGCTGGGAACCAAGCTCTGGTTCTCTGCAAGAGCAACAACGTGTGCTTTTAACCACGGAGCCAATCCCACCCCGTGTGTATGCAGCTGTTATGTTTCTGTCTCCTGCTTTTGCTTCCCATGTTAGGGATGGGGGAGCCCTCTCACTGCTGGGTCCTACTCTCTACTTGGGAATTCCTTTTTCTCCCTCTAGGGTTGAGTTTCTCGGACCCCCGTCTTATCTCTCAGCTTACACTGTTGCTTTTATTGGCCACATTTCCATACATAATCTCGGAAATGTCCCCTGAATCCCTCTTTATAGTCGCCCACCTTCACAGTAGCCCCTAGAGGTAGGTTCTGCTAAAGATTCTGGCTGCAGTTCTCAAAACTTCCTAGGACTCTCGGCTTCGGATAGGCTTCTGTACAGCAGGCCATCAGCAGAAATGCAACTGAAGGAAGTCACTCCATTTTGTCTAGACATTTCCAATTTTCAGCATCTGGCTGACCTCTCCTATTTGCTGCCATCTCATCTTTTGTGTTTATTACTTTTATATATTTTTATTTCCTTGATCTCATTTGGGAGGTTCCCACAGGAAGCATGAATAGCCGCCTCTGCTCATTCTGCCACATTTAATTAGAAGACACTTTATCTTATTCCCAGCTAAATGAAAACTGGGGCCAAAGGTTTAGGAATGCATTTAAGGCCATACATACATGCATGCATCAACACGTGCAGAAGTTGAGCTGGAACTAAGCGTTCAGATCACCTTAACTCCAGTGGGACTTAATGTCCACTCCTCAGTAAACACTATGGCAGTGCCAGCAACCTAGGAGACCAGAGGGAATAAGCTATAGGTGCCCGCAGTACTGAGCAGCGAGAGGCTACTTTCAACCTTCAGTACTGAGCCCTGAACCAAAACTGTGTGCTCAGTCACTCTCAGCCACCAGAAAGTATTTACATTCTCGATTCTTGGTGCCAAACTTGTTTCAGGTCTGTTATTTGGTGTTTGGGGTCCATAGGTTTTTCTTATTTAGAAGAGATTGGTGCCTCTAGGCCCATGTTGTTCCTAAACGAAGTAAAAACAAAATAACAAAATTACTAATAAATAAAGGAAGTATTATGCAAAAAAATGAGTGAATTGTATCATGAACAAAAATAAAATATAACCTTCTGGCTGTTTCCACACGTTCATTATCCGCGTTTCCCACATCGCCTGAGCTCTGGCCTCACATCCCCACAAGCTGGCCATGGTGACCTCGGGACATGGGGAGGGAAGCAAGCCTGTGCTGTGTTTTTCCAGCAGATATGCACCAGACTGCTCCAGCAAAACCGCAGTTAGCACCTGTGCAGGCACAGAGGCCAACTCAGAGCCGGCAGAGGCCAACTTGTGACTCCCGCTCTCAGATAACCCCGGAGTCCCAGCTGATGCTGGACCTCACACTTTCGGTTTCTTCTTGATTTTATCAGCCATTCATCGAACACCTATTTCAGCACCTTCCCTCTGTGTGGGAAGCGCTACTCTAGGCACAGGGTGTACAGCAAAAAAGAAGACCGGCAACTGCAGCTCACCTTCTGGTGGAGGAGGAGAAAGGCCTGGGAGGGGAAGCAATCGGCCTGTTCATGGCCATGCTTCCTCCCTTGAGTCCCAAATAAACGGGTGAAGCGGGACGCCGTAGATTTCATGAACGAATACAGCTTCAGGACCAGAGAGAGATTCCTCTTGCAAACACTAGGTTCCAAAATCTTGGACCTGGAATCTCATGAAGCTTCTTTACAAGATCTAGAGCTTTCCTGACATTTATTTCTGCCAGTGTCCTGTACGTGACTTCTACCCAGTACAGTAGCGATGTAGCACTACGCCCCCTGCCTTCTGGGTCTGGTACTGCAGCTACATAATCCCACACACCAGCACTGGGGTGCTCCAACACTTGGAGGCATGACTCACATGAGAGAGCGTGTTTCACACCACACACACTACATCTTTACATCACACAGTATGCGTATGTAATCCACACGTATACTTTCATGTGTTAATACTTATAATTCTTTTCACGGGTAATTCCCAGTTCAGCTGCTCTACGACATTTTGATTTTTAGAAATACTGCCCATTACTTGCTAAAAGGATTCTTTGTCTAGACAGCCCTGTGGGTTTTTTTTTTAAGAAGGAGATTTCAACAGCAACTGAGAAAAAAAAGTAGTACCAAATTGAACATGAGAGACTGTGGGAGTCTTTTGGTTAGGGTTGGGGGTAGTCAGGGCTAGTGCGTTTGCAATGCTTGCCACCGGTAGATGCTGATACAGATTTATCTTCCTACCTCCTCCCAGGCCAGAGAAAAAGTCTGAGCAGCCCATGTGTGAGGAGCACGATGAGGAACGCATCAACATCTACTGCTTGAACTGCGAGGTGCCCACCTGCTCCCTGTGCAAAGTGTTCGGAGCTCACAAGGACTGCCAGGTGGCTCCCCTCACCCACGTGTTCCAGAGGCAGAAGGTAGGGACCTCACTTCTCTGCCGCAGCCTCTTCTAAGCACCAGGGAGCAACTCTGCGTAGCCGAAACGGGGAGCTCAGCGGAAGGCAGGCTGTATGAGGAAGGCCCCCACGGGAAGGAGTCCTGTAGTTTCTCTCATATTCAATTCTCTCCAAGATTGAGGCAATGGCCAGAGAGGGAGAGTGCTAAGGTTTAGAAAATGGGCCTGATGGCCTCCAAGTCGCCTAGGCCAATGCTAAAAAGCACCCTTCGAATGTCCCTCCTTCCAGGGACCGGGTCTGGGCCTCCCTCCCTATTTGAGCCAGTGTACCAGCTCGTGGGCCCCGCTTCCTGTAGCAGCAGCCTAGAACTCATGCATCTATGAGGATAAGGGGGTATACGTGTCAGGGGGTCACTCGCATCTTCCACTTAACAACCACTGATTCCAATTCTGTCTCAAAGGCCAGAGCAGGAATCAGTTAGGAAGCCAGACTCGTGCTACACCTGTCGCAACCAACAACCTGCAAACAGCAACCTTGATTTGCTTTTGTTGCTGTTTTTGGTTTTCAGCTTCATTTTATTAACTCTGATTTCTCCTCTCCTTGCCCCCATGGCCTAGTGCGGTAGAGCTGTTCGGTATCTACTTTTGACTACTTCCCTCAGAGGCCCGGAGCTCCATGGGATGGGCAGAGGGACGGGAAGTGGGACTCCCACGCCTTTCCTCTTTGGTCAGCGTAGCTGCACATTCACTATAGGTTTCCATGGTCACTTCCACATGTAGACACGACTGCAGGTTTTTGTTGTTGTTTCTGTTATTTTCAAGACAGTGTTTCTCTGTGTAATCCTGGCTGTCCTGGAACTCGTTTTGTAGACCAGGCTGCCTATAACTCACGTAGATTCAACTACAGTTTCAAATGTTTGACAACCAGACTTGCTAGGGTTTGGCCTAGACCTCTCCTTTAAAAGTTCAGGTTCAATTTGATTGTATGACTTGCTCAATAACCTGGAGAAGTTCAGGCCAGAGGGCTAGGCTTCCCAAGTCCCCACTCAGTGCGCCTTGTGGCTCCATGTCTGAGCAGGAGGAAGGGAAACAGGAAGAGAAAAATAAGTGTTGGGTTAAAAGAACACAAGAATTTTAAAGTTGTAATACCCTTGCTAAAGCCGACGTCATGTTACAGTTTAAGTGTGTGCGACAGGCTATGGACATTTCTGCACTATATTAGCGTAGTAGGATTGCAATATACATGTGCCCAATAGATAAACATTTATTGCATTTATTGCCCAAGTAAAATTAGTCCTGAGCTGCTCTAGACAATTCATTCTGAGTTCCCAATGTCACATATTTGAGTCTGTTGCACTGCCCTAGTTATGAACTGCTTAGAATTCTCCAGCTTCAATGTACTGTTATTGATAGCTTATAATTGTTCTTCGTGTTTTTAACTGAATCCACGTCTTCAGCAATAATGGGATGAAAAACATGGAACCTTGTCTCACACGGAGCCAACATTTGCTTACATTATCAAGAGGTTCCCAGGTTTCCCACGATGAGCACCCACTTCAGTCTTTAGATGTAATTAATTGCATTTCCTCGGTTTTGTATGAGGAGGTCACAACCACACTTACCTCTTACAGTGACCTAATTCACATCTAAATCAATAATGACAGAACATTCTGGCTTTCCTTGGCCATCTTTATCTTCAGACTTGTTTTCTGGGGCCAGAGGCCAGAGGGGCATCACTGAGCCACCCTGCCAGTCTAAACGGGAGATGTAGGTCACCAGCACCTTCTGTTCTTTGTTCACAGTGAGAATGTGTCTTGGGAGAAATCCACCAGCTTGTTTGTGGGCTTGTTTACTCCTTAGGGATCAAATCCCCCAGAGGATAATGCTGTGACCAGCCCACGAGCATCCATAGTTAGAAAACCCCAAATAACTGGAGTCTGTTTTCTCTTCGTTAGTCGGAACTCAGTGATGGCATCGCTGTGCTTGTGGGAAGCAACGACCGCATCCAGGGAGTGATCAGTCAGCTGGAGGACACCTGTAAAACAATCGAGGTAGGTCAGCTGACTCCCAGGGACTCAGAACCAGTCCTGATAGCCCTACAGGCCAGTGGTTGTCTCAGTGACACACTAGAGACCCCCATCACAATGTTCCATTCTTCCCCTATAGAATGGCCTCCTAACATAGTTGTTCAGGCCGAAATAACTGTGTGTGCTCTTCCTCAGTCAAACCCTTTAGAAAGGCTAGCAGCAAGGCAACGAAGGGAACACTGTTATTTAACAAGATTTCTTAGTGGAAACCCGGAACAGTCTTCAGAAATGCTAACGGTGTTCCAGGAAGTCTTGTAAAGGCCTAAGCTGCACAGCTGTGCCCCCCATAGCAGTCATCGTGGGGGACCCCCAAGGAGGAGAAAGATCTCCCCAGTTGTGACTAGCAGGCTGGGTATTAACCACTCAGCTTCCGGTGCACGGTTCTCATTGCTGCCTGCTAGGCCTCTCTCATTGCCTGTTATTTCCTTCTGTCGCCATTTCCTGAAGATAACAGTTCTGATAGATGCTGGATTGTCTCTGTGTGCATTCTCATAAAATGGGTATTTTTTTTTATGTATGTGTCTTAGTTACTTATCTATTACTATGATAGACACCATGACCAAAACAACTTATAAAAGGAAGCAGTTAACTGGGGGGCGTGCTGAGAGTTTCAGAGAGAGAGAGAGAGAGAGAGAGAGAGAGAGAGAGAGAGAGAGAGAGGGAGGAAGGGAGGGAGGGAGAAAGAGAGAGAGAGAAATTAAGACTGGGTCTGGTATGGGCTTTTGAAACTTCCAAACCTACCCCCAGTGACACTCCTACTCCAACAAGGCTGTACCTTCTAATCGTTGCCAAAATAGTTCTACCAACTAGGGACCAGCCATCTAAAGATGTGAGAGCAAACCATCCCAGCCTTCGAGTTTCACAAATGTTACGGCATTGTGGCTTCTTTGCGTTTTAAACCAAGCATTATGTTTTTAAGATCCATTTATGTTACTATAAGCATGAAAGGCGACAATCACACTTATTCTACAGAGCTTACAGGCATGGAGATGCTTAGCACGGTACCCGGCATGAAGTGTGTGATCTCATCACCTTCCTATTACCGAGGTCAAGTCTATTATTGCAAGTTTAAGTCCATGTCCGAGGGGATGGCTTCAAGAATTCATTAGTTATCATTAGCCCATCTTAGATTTACACAACGTTAAAATCAATTTCCTTTCTTCTCCACACTCATATTATTGAAAAGATCTTTGGTATGTGGAGATTCACTTACAGAGGGAATATTTTCTCCTGGTGAAGAGTGTAAGTGATTCAGAGATGGGCAATGGAAACTGTTCTCTCTCTACTTATTTGCAGGGAAGATCAGTCACTAGTCATGAATCAGCACGCCAGTGTGAGGCTACGCTGAGTCTGGTGTGTATAAATAGCCTGTTGCTTGTGTTGAACGAGGCAGTCTCTAGCCACCTCCTGCAACTGTGGCGCCTCCCCAGAGAGGTCTTTGCGGAGAGGCTGGCTTCCTGTCTGGGATAAAGACATTAAAAGATGTGTGAAACGTCCCGCGGACCACTGAAGTCTTGGGCGAGGGAAGCAACTTCACCCTGGCTGTGTTTAGGAAGGACAATAGGTCACCCGTCCCAGAGGCTAGCCAGGGTCTCAACAGGAAACAACCGTCTCCAGTTACACTTGAGGGCACGCCAAGAAAGTACAGGTTTAAAGCTAATTCAGCAGGAAGGGTTTAGTTAGGGACAGTATGGAGAGCAGCCGAGGTCAGAACCATCACCCCTTTCTCACTGGTAATGTCACCATCTAATTCGGCACACTTTTCTAAGTCTTTCCACAGAGCCCTAGAGAGGGGTATGCTATCACTCCTTCCGAGTCAGTAAGATAATGGTTGTATTTAAAGTGCTCATCGTCACACCAGGCTTGGCAACGCGCACCTATAGTTCCAGCTTCTCGGGAGGGTGAGGCAGAGGGATTAGAAGTTCTAGACTAGTCTATATAAAAATAAAATAAAATAAGAATAAAAAGTGACCGAGGAGCAAGAGTGATTTTCTAGCACACAAAAGCGTGGAGTCCAAAGCCCAGTTCTTTGAGGAAAAAAAAAAATCAGTCTATCCACATTGACATGTTTAGGTTAGCCATTCATCTTATTAAGGAAATAAGATTTTTTTTTAAAGCACCATGAGCATAGGGTTATGCATATTGTATAGGATATACAGATTCATACCTGACCGTTTTAAATGCCTACATCCATATCTAACCAGTATTTTCATTGCGGGGGGGGGGTGGATGCTACAGGGCTAGGACCTTTAAGTTGTGGCGCGCTTCCTGACCAGCAGGAATGGACGACCACGAAATCGAGAATCCTTCCCATATCACGCCTTTATTGGAGCCACTTGGTTGAATGGGGGAATGCGGGGGAACGAAAGAGGGAGAGAGAGAGAGAGAGAGAGAGAGAGAGAGAGAGAGAGAGAGTAAGGGAGAGAGGGTGAGAGAGCAGGAAGCAAGAGAGAGCGAGGGGCCCAAAGGCAGCCGCTTTTCTAGGGTGGAGAGGCTCGAATGCTGATTGGTTGATGCCATTTTGCTAGGGCCCGAGGCCTCAGGACAGGTCAGGGAACCAAGGCTCTGAAATGCAAAACACAGGCCCCAGGCACTCTGGCCTGCGTGGCAGCATCAAAGGATCTGTATACCTCCAGGCTGTAGGACCGCTGGCACCATCTCGCCAAGGCGACATCCTGGCGGCTCCTTACATTAAGTATCAGAACTGGGGTGAGGAGGTTGTTTTGTTGTTTATTTGTTTGTGATCAGTTATCGCTCCATAGCCCTGACTGGCCTTGAACTTGTGGTAATGTCCTTTCTCAGCCTCCTAAATGCTGGGATTAGAGACATAAGCCATCATGCCTGTCAGTTTTCAATGTCTGGCTTAGGTATCCCTGCATTTCCCAGCTTTGTGAGTCCCATATTTTTAATAACTGGTAATAGCAGTCAGGAATGAACAGATATGGTCACCGGGCGGGAATGAGCAGACGTGGTATGGATAACCATGGCTCTTTCTCACCAGTTGAGGAGTTTCAGGTAGAGATGGAGGGGCCGCCTCAGAGCCACATGGAGTTCTTTAACTGTAATTCCCGTGCTCTGTTTTAAAAGGCCTGCGGTCAGGCCAACATCCACCTTGTTCACCTATGACCCAGAAAAGCCCTGATGTCAAGGTCATCAACAGCAAGCATTATTTGAATGCCGCAGGTCACTTAGCTATCCTCCTCACAACCGGAATATCACAACAGACTGAGCATTATCTGGGAGTCTCCAGACCCTCGGGCCATACAGAGCTGTTTTGATGAGCAAGGGCACAGGTTGAGGGGGCAGGGGCTGAAGCCCAAGCTGTGCATAAAGGTCCAACTTGTTCTTTTCCTAGAAATATTCTGGTCTGTGTTCATGGGACTGCTCCAAGTGTTTATAACTGGAGCCCTGAATGAATGCTTGGGCTTACTAACCTCATTCCTCTTAAGATGGCTCTTTGTTCAGTATTATTAACTTGATGTCTGTTTTTCTATTTCTTTTTGGGGAGGGAGAGTGGAAGGGGACTTTGAAGTACTGTATCTCACGTACAGCTGCATTTCTGCACAAGTGGCCAGATAAACACTGGAGGAATGTGGTGGAGACACGAGCGGGCGGTAGAGTCACAGGTGCCCAGCGACAAGTGTCCAGGCTGCGGCTTTATCTTCAGGCTATTTTGGACGCAGAGCTATGCTCCTTACATGGTGAAAGTAGCGGTTATAGTCACTCAGAATTTTCCTGCCATGCCTATAGCACAAGCCTACACTGGGTCTGACGTTTTGTCTTACTTCTGGAGATGACGTTCTGAAACTGGCTGGGAATGGAGTGGGGAATGCTGTAGCCTAAAGAACATGAGATGTATCTCCACATTTCTAAGTCACAGAGTCTTGGAGCTGTAGCGTCAGAGAGAAAGCATCAATTATCCAATCTGGTCTGTCACTACCATAACAAATCATCCTTTTAAAATCTGTCCCAAGATTAAGTGGTTCCCATAACTTTGAATAGTTGCAATTCGGTGTTTCCTTTTGAGGAGTTGATGAAGGAAAGATTTGGATCATACATTTAAGTATTTATTTCTCTAAACAAATGAAATGAAAACTTTTGGGTGAAGTCAAATATTTAGAGATGCAAATTTTTATAACCATTTGATCATCTTCCAAACCCCTATTTCCCAAGAATTTATTGAATGCATCATTGTGTTCACATAATGCTGGGAAATAGCTATGTCCGAAACACAAATGATGCTGTGTAGCTGTTGTTTCTCCCTCTGTGGGATATCTGCCACCCCGCTCCCAAATAAATACATGGAGACTTTTTCTTACTTATGAATACCTGGCCTTAGCTTGGCTTGTTCCTAGCCAGTTTTTCTAACTTAATTTAAATTATCTCATTTCTCTTTGACTACGTTTTGCCTCTGGGCGTTTTACCTCTCTTTATTCTATATATCTTTTTTTCCTTCTTACTCCTAGGTGACTGGCTCCTGGCCTCCTCCCCTCCTCCTTTTCTCACTCCTCCCTCGTCTCATTCTTCTTTTCTTGAGCCTAGATTTCTCCTCCTATTTATTCTCTCTGTCTGGCAGCTTCACATATCCCTCTCTCCTGCCTAGCTATTGACTGTTCATCTCTTTATTAGACCAATCAGGTGTTTTAGACAGGCAAAGTAACACAGCTTTACAGAGTTAAACAAATGCAACATCAAAGTATGCAACACATCTTTGCATCCTTAAACATATATTCCACAGCATAAATGAGTGTAACATATCTTAAACTAATATTACACAACAACATTGAATTTTGGGAAATGCTTATTCTAATACAGTATTTAGACAGTTAATCAAATGTGCTACATTAATTTTGTAGAAAAATAAGTACTTAGGAAGGAAAAGTAAACCAATAAAAATCCGACCATTAAGGATGAGGAGACAGCTCAGTTGGTAAAGGGTGTGTCATGTCAGCATGAAGACCCAAGTTTGATACTCAGAATCTGTGTAAGAAAATCCTGGAATGAGACACATGCTTGTAATCATAGTGACCGGGGAGACAGAGACACATATGTTCTTTGGGCTTGCTAGCCAGACAGCTTAGCATAATCATCATTTAGGTAAAAAGACACTCTATTATTTTTTCATACAAAGCTTCTTTTTTTCCAATGGCTTGTCCGGTTTTAGCAAATGTATGTGTTTGAGGTATGCTTGTGTGAGTAGTTTACATGGCTGTGTTTGTGTGTTCTTATATGTGTGTGTGTATGTGTGTGTGTGTGTGTGTGTGTGTGTGTGTGTGTGTACATGTGCACATAGAGGGCTGAGGTCAGTATCAGGTATCGCCAGCAATTGCTCTACTTTATATTCCAAAGCAAGATCTTTTGCTGAGCCCAGAGTTCACAACTCTGTTTAGTCTGACAAGCAAGGTTTCTCCAGAGAAACTGCTTCCACACACTGGGCCCCCCCCCCCCCCCCGTACAGATTTGGCATGCTTGCACAGCTTTTACTGGGTTCTGGGGATACAAACTCTTGTCTTCGTGACTGCGGGACATTACCCCCACCAAGCCATCTCCACAGCCCTGTACATCTTGTTTTGTATTATTTCTGATAATTTATAAAGATGAGTAAAAGCAGAACCTCTCCATTCTGACATTGCTATAAAGGCTACAGTCAGCTGGTGACCTGAGGTCAATATTGAAGAAGACCTACCTACTTCCGTGGGAATAGCTGAGTACCTGATTTGCTTTTCTTTTCATTTGGGGTTTCAGTCTCGGTTAGAAAGAAATAGTCCACCTGTCCTCGTCTTACCACATCAGGGTGCACAGGATAATCTTCCCTTTATGAGATAGCATCTCCTTTATCACATCCATGCTTGGTTCTCCTTGGAACTGGGGTGAATTTTCCTTTTATTAAAGTGTTGTAGGCAGGTGTAATTTGTTCTCCTAAGAACTGAGAATGTGTAACAGTTCTGGAAGATGGGAGAAGAGCTGCTGTGCGGTCAGGCCTTGTCATCAGGAGATACCTGTGTAGTGCATCAGAGGCCAGTATGTAACATGAGGGGCCGGCTTGTTGGGGTTTCCGTCCCGCCCGGTACCCCAACAGCCGGCAAATCCCAAAGAGAAATTACACACAGGACTCCATAAGGTTATAAACTGATTGGTGCATTAGATCAGGCTTCTTGTTAACTCTTATAACTTATGTTACCCCATTATCCTTATCTACATTAGCACATGGCTCCGTACCTTTCTCAGCTGGGCAAGTTACATGCTGCCTCTTCAGTGATCTGCGCAGGAGGGAGTGGCTGAGGAAGCTTCCTCCTCCCTAGCCTTATCCTATTCTCATTGCCCCGCCTCTACTTCCTGTCTGGTTGACCCGCCTATACTTCCTGCCTGGCCAATCAGCGTTTTATTAAAATACATGATTGACAGAATACAGATAATTCTCCCACACCACCAGTATCTAGTTCATTTGAAACAGAGTTAGTTCACTGGCTAAGCATACACACGCAGATACAAGGTACACACACACACACACACACACACACACACACGTAGGGAAACACTGAAGCCAGAGACATCAAAAAGAAGAAAATGGGAAGCATGGAAGCTATATAAGAGAAAAAAAAGCTTAAAAGTTCACAAACTTGTATCTTTTTTTCTTTTCTTTCTCCTTCCCTCCCTTCCTCCCTCCCTTTCTCTCTCTCTTTTGAGACAGGGTTTCTCTGTGTAACAGCTATGGCTGTCCTGGAACTCACTTTGTAGACCACGCTGGCCTCGAACTCAGAGAGATCCACCTGCCTCTGCCTCTGGAGTGCTGGAATTAAAGGTGTGCACCACCACCACCTGGCCATGAACCAGTATCTTAATTCAATTACTATTTAGAAGCAGGAGAGGAAGGATGAGAAATTGGCCTCGGTCTATTTATTCAAATAGATAAAGTGCCATGGTAAAAACAAGAGGAAATCTTAGAAGGAAATAAGGTTTCGTGGAGAAGAGAGAAATATGGTTGTAATCATGCTTTTTCAGGCAACAACTGTTCTTCGAAATTTCCTGTCTGCAGACACGTGGATGCAAAGTGTCGTAAGCCACCTTTTTGGGGTGACTTCTGCCATGGTCCAGTCACGGCAGGCTCCTACGTTCCACGTTAGGGCACAAGGATTAAAAATGTTAGGTAGGAGGGACAGAGAGAAGAAAGAAACACAGAGACATAGGATAGAACTGGGAGGGAAACTCAGCGGACATTGAATGCTGAATGCACCCGCATTTAGTTTCCATATACTTTTATGCCCCAATACAAAAGGGGTGGGGGAGAAGGCAAAAGACGGCTTAGCATGACACAAAGGGCAACCAGAACGGTTACTTGCTTTGATACTTGAGACATCAAGCCATTATTTCCTGAGAAAAGTATTTAATGTGTGGGACAGGAATATGCAGTGAACACACCCTAGACCAAGGATCCTGTAGGCAGCCACTCCCTATGTCAAACCTGTTTTAAAAGAAGGAGCACAGGAGGTTAGGGGATCTTGTTTGTAGCCACACCCGTTGTCAACAACTTGGTCATGGTGAGGTCAGAGGTGTCAGACATAAGTTACTTGAATTCTCAGGGCAGGAGAGCTAGATGAGGGGACTCCGTCTCACAACCTGCTCTCAGCCCTGAAGGTTCTGGATCCAGAGATAGAAAGAGCCAGAGGTAGAAAGAGCACAGCAAGCTTACCAGAGCTGGATAAAGCAAGGGCAGACCAATGGGCCGGCTGGAGTGGCACTTAGCTATGATTTAACATCAGTCTCACAATGTATGTGAGAGTCAGACTAGACGGAGGGGCTTTTTGCAGCATTTCCCTCTCTTCAGCAGCGTTTGGCAAACAGACATATACCAGATGCACATATGTGCCATAGGTGCCAACAGAGAGAAGGAGAGTCCAAAGGGGGAGATTGGGAGTGGGAGGGGCCTGTCTCTTAAAGGGACAGGATACCCGGGTGACAAGCCAGGCCAGCAGATTTACTTTCACAACATTGAAAGTTGTTTTCCAAGTAAAACCATTAAGTCATTAATAGTAAATCATTCCCAAATCCATGAAATTGTGTAAAGCAAAGCCATGACTTAAATAAAACTACATGTGAGTTTCTTGAGATATTTTTGTTTCACTTGGGGATATGCTCCTGTGTCAATACTTTGTATTTAAAAAACTTTCATAATGACTCAGAACTAGGCACTAAATGTGAGTAGTCCCAAATAAGTCTGCTATGTTCACACTGTTTGCATAAGCTGGCCTATAGCCATCTACACCCTCCTCAGCATTCTTGACAGTTTTCTAGAATCATATCAGCATGGGAAGTCGATAATTGTGACGACCCTAAAAGATAAAACAGCCCAATCATCTCACTGCTGCTTTCAGATGATAAGGGTTACAAATGAGAGGAGGCAAGGTTCCTTTCAAGGGATTCATAACAAAAAAGCATGAATAGAACTGTAGTCCAAAACAGCGAATTTGGCTGCATCCAGCTGCTTGGGCTGGAGAAGGGAATCCCAGGTGCAAAGGCCTGTGGGAAACTTCAGAATCTCCATGCGAAAAAAGAAAGGTGAGTGTGTGCAAATTAGGAAGGAGCGTAGTTTTTCTTCACCTCACCTTGCCAAATATGGCCTGTAGTATACACAATGTAAATAAAACAGAGTGTAAAACCTGTTTTGATTTCTGTGAAGAAGACCAGGGCTGGAAAAATGGCTCAGTTGGTAAAGAGCTTGCTGTGCAAGCATGAGGACCTGAGTTCAAATCCTCAGTGCTCACACAAACGATCAGGCACAGCAAAGTGGAGGACCTGAGTTCAAATCCTCAGTGCTCACACAATCAGGCACAGCGATGTGACCTGTGATCCCAGGACTGAAGAGGCATAAATACTGTCTAAAACATATGGTGGACAGAAACTGAAAAAAAAAACCACAAAACATCGATCTTTCTTTCGCTTCCACACATATGTGCACATTCTTATACATGCATTGGCACACATATGTCCGCATACATGTGCACAAACTTAAACACGCATTGGCACATATATGCTCACACACATGGATATGAATAGTCACACACATGGAGAGAGGGGGGGGCATTGATTTGTTTAACCAATGTGACGGAGTACTTTTCTTCCATCGGTAGATGCTCTTGTCTCCTAACGTGTCCAGATGATCGTTTCACTAGATTCTCTCACACACCGTTTCTAACACCGGCTGACCCAACTAACAGGAATGCTGCAGGAAGCAGAAACAGGACCTGTGTGAGAAGTTCGACTACCTGTACGGCATCCTGGAGGAGAGGAAGACCGAAATGGCCCAAGCCATCACCCGAACTCAGGAGGAGAAACTGGCGCACGTCCGAGCCCTGATCCGGAAGTATTCTGACCACCTGGAGAATGTATCAAAGCTGGTGGAGTCGGGGATCCAGTTCATGGACGAGCCGGAAATGGCCGTGTTTCTGCAGGTAATGCTCTTTGCCACCAAGAACACAAACCCAAGAGGCGGGCTTTCAGTATTCTATCTACATTGCATTTAAAAATCCATTTCATCAACTAAAAGCTTCCTCCATTTGGTATTGCTTAAGTAGAGAGGGTGACATCTAGAAGCCCAGCTAGGAGATGCTGAGTCACAAACAGAGGATTAAATCTCACCAACTTAATGTGAACATGCCAAGTAAGCTTCTCTTTCTTGCTTTCCCAGAACGCCAAGACCCTGTTACAAAAGTGAGTACTTTCTATTTGATCGAACAAGCACACTGTTTCGTCTTCGCCCAAGGCTATCTATCAGACTTTAGCCGGTGACGGAGAATGACACCTGTCTTTGCTGCAGGATTGCGGAGGCGTCGAAGGCGTTTCAGATGGAGAAAGTGGAACAGGGTTATGAGATCATGAACCACTTCACAGTCAACCTCAATAGAGAAGAAAAAATTATACGTGAAATTGACTTTTACAGAGGTGTGTTATTTCTTTAACCAGCTGTTTCAAGCTGTGCTGTGGGCAAGCGGTTGAGTGAGAGAAAGCGAGGAATGTATGAAACCCTGAAGGACAGACATCTGTAACTCCAGAGGGGTCACAAACCATTGGGAGGCCCAGTCTCACCACAGGATTATATAGCTCTTGACTGTTTATTTTTATGGCGTTTTAATGCCATTATCAAGAGTTTGACACTGGGTAATTGAAATCCTTAATAATTGACATAAATGGTGATAATTCAACTTCAACTCTACCCCAGAATATGAATCATAGGGGTGTAAAGGAAAAAAGTTTCAAGACGAGTCAGAGGAAAAGACAGAAGGCATCTGGGGTAGGAAGGCCAGCACACAGTGGGTGAGATGCTGGCAGGTTAGATCAGCCAGAGCATGGAAATAGGATAGCGTCCACGAGCAGTAACTGCGGCTTTCGCTTTTGGCTCAGAGTTCCCAGTCTTAGAACTCTCCTGATGAAATACTTGAAAGGGAGACAGTAACTCTGGAGCTGGCCCCAGCTATGACTGCCTTGGCTCAGAGGAGATAAGAAAGAGGGGTGAGAACAGCAGTGGTCTAGACCGCTAGCTCTGCCATGAGCTTGCCCCAGCCCCGCAGACACACGTTCCAAGGCACAACTTCCTAATGGATTATTACGATCTGTGCAGGAGCTTGCAGATATGGTGGCTGTGGTAGAAACGTGAGCAGGCTCTGCGAGTGAGGTTGTGTGAGGGGCAGGGGACAACTCTGTACTGGGGATGAAAGCAAGCCAATGCTTCCTTCATATTGGCCCTGCCGGGGTGAATGTGAGAAGCGCAAGGTCTCAGCATGACCTGGACCACTGTCGAGTGTCAATTGACAAGATTTCTCTAGCCCTAGACGGTAGGTGCTAGCTATTAACTGTTTCCATGGCTACCATGGTAGTCGTATAAAGTTTTAAATGATCTATCTCACTAGAAGAGGAAGATGAAGAGGACGCAGGAGAAACAGAGGAAGGAGGAGACGGAGAGGATGCCGCGGAAGCAGAAGAGGTAGACAATGTTCAAATCGAGTCATCGGGGGAAGAGGAGAGCCTGGAAAAAGCCTCGGAGCCCTCTCAGCTTACCTCGGAGCTCCAGGCCCCGACGCCACTTCTTGCTTCCTCTCCAGAACCACCTTCATCCACGCCAACTGCTGCAGATGTCCTGGTGACACAGGTAACCTGTCAAACGGCCTCATTGCCAAATGCTCTAAACAACATATTCTACTATAAGACAAGTGGGGGTCAGCACAGTCACAAAGCCAGGGAGAAACGCTCTCTAGGTGACTCAGGAGGTTCATCACCATTACAGCTGGTGGGCAAGACTTAATGTAATGCCATTTTTATACCAACAATGCTCTCAGATCTGAGGCAACCTCTGTCAAGAAAGTGTGTGTGTGGGGGGGAGGGTGGGTGAGTCTGTCTGCCTGTAAAATAAGAGCTGCTCATGGAAAAGCAATCTGTCAAGAAAGTGTGTGTATGTGTGTGTGTGTGTGTGTGTGTGTGTGTGCAGGTGCGCACGCAAGAAATCAGAGCTGCTCGTGGGAATGTAGTCTACCTTTTGTTGCATAGTCAATGAAAACACAGAGCAGATTGTAGAAATTATACGAGGTGAGAAATGAAAGTGTTTCCACCTCATAGCCTTGACTCTCGTGCACAGAATAGAAGAAGTAAACAGAGAAACCGCAGTTTCATGTAGCTTCCCCTGAGGCACAACTTCATCTTTCCTTTGGTGGACAAGTAAATGAAGCCTGGCTTTCCATCTAGTTGTCATTTTAGAGTGTGATTAAAGGTATTCTGGGAAAGTGGGGCTTCTAGAAGGCCACCATTCAGTGCACAGAACCCCAGTCACTGAGTGTGGTGGGGAAAGCGGGCTCATCCAGAGGGGTCCTGGTTCTGCTTCTGTGGGTTGAGATCACTGACAGAGCCAGAACACCACAGATAACCCAGATATGGAATTGCATTCTGTATTCTGTTTCCAAAGAATCCAGGATAAAATACTCATTTCCCAGAACCTTGACCTTCTGAACATCCCGGCCGCACTGACACTGAAAGAAGGGTTGGGTTTGATTAATTAGGTCAGCATTGGTTTTTTTAAAATCAGTTTGGGGGACCCACGCATAATGCCAGAGTTAATTTTGGTCAATAACTTGCCATCTGAGGTATTTTATAAGCAATTTTTCACTGCTTTCTTCCTATCCGGGCTACCACCTAGTGGGTGGCAAGCCCAGACGCCTGTAGATGCCTGTCAGAGGCATAGTGCTGTGGTGAGCATTCTGCCCCAGCATCCCCCAGAGAGCTCAGGGTGGTCAAACCCAAAGGGAAATAACACCAACTACTTTTTCCTCTTCTTTTTTACTTGTGACCCCATCTGTTGTGATTAAGAGGGAGGTGGTGCCCATTGGCTCTCAGCCGACCACACAAACTGAAACTCCAAGCCCTTCGGCAGCGGAAACCGCGGATCCCTTGTTTTACCCTAGTTGGTATAAAGGCCAAAACCGGAAAACCATCTCCAACCCGCCTTGCACTCCTGGGAGTGAAGGTCTCGGGCAAATAGGGCCTCCTGGTGCTGAGGATTCCAGTACGCAGTCGCAGTCGGCAGGAGTGGCAGGAGCCGCAGCCAATGAGCAGGCAGCAGTGAGTGGTAAGGAATCTAGTTCGCCTGCCGCTACCTCTCAGGTTAGTGTTGAAGCTCTTCTGTCTGAATGCTTCCCCACACCTGCTACAATCCTGCTGGAAAAGGCGTAGTCAGAGAGCAGGGCTTTCTAGGGAGCAAGGGAAGACACTGCCTGGGCAAATGCAGCAACGTCTTATCCTCCAATGCTGGCTTGCATTAGCGTTAGCGTTCTACCTCACAATAAACAAAGAACCAAACTGAACTCCCTTTGCCCATGGGTGACCTCATCCCAGGCTTTCCAGGGATGGGGCACAAGCAAGTGTAGCCCTTAGGCATGCTGTGCAAAGCCGTTTTATCTGCAGTGACTGGCTGGCTGGTGTCTCTGGTTCTTTGTGAAATTCACTTGCCCTTACTCGGCTTTTAGGATCTCCTCTTGGGCTTCCAAAGACTAATCGCCTGCTTTGGAGTCATTCCTAGCCATCACCAATATTCGAATTGGTTTAAACTTGCTCTGTAAAATAATCTGGGATTCATGCCTTCCAGAAATGTGCTTGCCGTGGCCAGATAGTCTTGGCTCCATTAAACCTGTGCTTCCTAAACTTCTGTACTGCGGGCAGGAAAACACGGAGAGTTTCCTCCATTTTTCAGGGTCTCTTGGTAACTTAAAAAAAAGTATTTGATAATATAGTTTGATACATTTTTATTTTTATAATGAAAATTTGAAGTCCAAGTCTTCCTTCTGTCGCTTAGTTAGGTGTTTGCATGTCTCCATGAGCCAATAGAACACAACTACAAGTTCTTCCCGAGGAAGAACGTCAGTCATCCCAGACACGGGATTCCTAAATTAGGTGTGAGGAGTGAGTAAGTGTTGCCTGAGTAGTTAGGAAGCTGTCGCTCGGCGTCCATGGGCCATCCGGTGACAGTGGACAATAAGCAACACGATTTTGTTGGATCTGCTCAAGCGGACCCCAGACTCTCTAGGTAACAGAAGGACATCATTTTGGAGAGTTGGGAGTGTCACGCTTTTACACCTGATCTTCTCTCACAGACACACGATGACAAAAGTCGATGTTTGTAGAGTAACCTTTCCAGGGCCAGTTTTAGGTTAGGAAGCAGCAAAACCAATGAGATGGACTGATTATTCTAGAAACTGAGTGAAGGTGTCTGTATTTGAGGAGGAAGAGCTGTTGTCTTTAGCGGCAGTACAGTTTCCCCACGAGGAACACGTAGCAGGCCTCCCTCCCTCCCACTCACGATGAAAAGTTTGTCTAAATGATACTGGAGACGCAATGTGTGACGATGTCAGTGAAGATCTCTTCTTGTTTTCTCGCAGGAGTTAGTCATCTGCCTAGCCCTTCTGGCTTTTCTTATTCTCCACTACATCTGGAGTCAGATTCAGTGCTTGATTTTTGCTTTCATGGGTAGGAACTATTTTCTTTTCCGTTTGCTAACATCTCCTGTCTTCTCTTCCGTAGTAGTCCTCTTCTTTAGGCCCAGAGATCCATTCGGGTTTAGGTCTCTAAAACCGTGTTCACGTCAGGGCCACAAGCTCCCTCCCTACGGTACCTCTGTAGGAGCCCCTGCACCTCTGAAGGAGACCCAGGCTGTTATCTGTTCCTGCATGGAGAACCTTGACCCAGAACAGCGACTCCGTGGGCAATTATTCAGTAATCCAGTAGAAGAGGACCCTCCAGGGCCATTATGGGAGTCCAGCTGCACTAGGCATGCTCGGCACTGTAGGGACTCTATTATAGTGCAGGGAGACACGGCAAAGAACCCATTCGGGAGCTAGCAGGATGTTTGTGGGGTGAGGGTGCATTTCCTGTTTACCCAGACAGGCCCAGGAAGTAGCTGCTGTCAGGACTGCTGTCCAGGGCGGTCTCTGCTCTAGACTGTGACTAGGTTCTCCTTGTACCCTCCTTCTCTTCAGGGCCTTGCCCTAGAGAAGAGGTCTCTGAGACAAAGATGCTACAAGTGAAGCAGCCATTAGACCCATTGACTAAGAGCCAGGCGTTAATGTGCACACAGCAACCGTAAGAATCTAAAACAAAGAAAAGCCACTATTTTGTTTAACAGCCCCTGCCTTTTGGTTCAAGCTACATTTCTCATAGACAAACTATGAGGTTTGCTTTGGGGCTGGCACCCCACCTTTTGGATAATCTTTTGAAAGCTACCTGTTTAGTTAGCAATGTGTGAAGTGCGTGAACTCACGTGCATGGATTTTTGAGTGACGGGCCCTACTAGCCTAAGCGCTTGCTCCCTCTCCCTTAGCCAAAAAGCAGTCCAGGATCCCTGGTGCTAAAGGCGTCAGTTATTTCTGGTTCCCTAACCTCCCGTGATAGGCCTCTTCATGTCTCCTTAGCCACCGTTTTTCAGAGGCTGTAGGAGCTCCGTGTGTACTAGTCGTGTCTGTAACTGTGTGAGCAGAAGCCCCACCCACCTTCTGCCTAAGAGTCAGATGGGTTCTCGCACACACTCAAGTATCCTCAGCATGCACAGACTCTTTTCGGCTGCCTGACACCTCCTTCCATGTTATTTGTGGGAATGAAGTCATAGAAGACAGTGGGTTCGGGCACAAAAATGGGGAGAGATAAGAACATGGTTATTGGAAGCGGGGCCTACCTGTGGATCTGAATAATTGTCTGAAGAGTCCCGTTTACGTTCCAAGAACATGGGTTTGGAACCTTGTTGCCATGTATCCTTACAATCCCCTCTGAGGCTGTAAGGGGAGGGTCATGCTTCATGGCTGTCCTTCACTAAGCTCATGCCATTGTCTGCTGACATTCATCTGCCTGTGTGGTGATGTGGGAGTGAGGCAGGGGGTGGCCTTTGAGGCAGTGGGTTGTCACTGGTTGTCGCAAAGCAGGCTTGTCTGTGAGCAAAGGCCTCTTCACATAGCAAAACTAACCTGTTCATAGTGGGTAGCACTTCTGAACCCCTGAGATAGGGTGTGAATAGAGCAGTAAAGATCTCACAATGGCAGCAAATTCCTGGCCTTGGTACTCAGAGCCCAAGCTGCCAGGTAACTGTCCAGTGTGCATTTAGCTTGTTGTAATGTCGGCCTGAACGACCCCTTCCCTTGAACTCCTTGTACGTGATCCCAGGCCTCTCCCAATTTACCAACGGTCATTACTAAATAGTTCCAGGTCAGGCGGTGGTCACGCGGTGGTATTGCCATAGACACTCAAACACCACAAGCTAAATTGTTCACCTTCAAGCTCACCTTGGCCCCCATGGCCAAACTGCAAACTCTTTGTCCTCGGGTACTTCCCACGTATCCTTCGACACATAAAACCCACCCTTGACCACAGAACACAGGCAGGTCTTGCTTCATGGAGAAAAAACAAACCAGGCATCAACTCGGTCTGCACTGGGGATGAAGATGCTACTTTCTAATAGATCAAAGGTGGAGAGTCACCATCCTCATCCTCATTCCCTACGAAAAGAGTTGTTTTCAAAATTGGGGTTTACCCCAGTTGTCAGCTTATCCCTTAGAAGGTGCTAGTTCTCACCCTCTGCAGGATGAACTTTGAACCTTCTCTTAATCTTATTCCTGCCAAAAAAAAAAAAAAACAAACCCTATGCAGAAACCTACAGTTTGACCAGGCTGCCAGAGGCAGATGGTCAGAATGTTCCCGTGTATGCCACCCTTCTCGATCAGGTTTATTATACGCTTAGCTGAATTTGGAAAACATAACATCTGGTGCTTTTCGGGTATTTATTTTAATTTTTTTTTTTGGAAAATGTCTAAGACTATTTTTAGGGATTTATGGACTGTGTTTTAGTTCATAAGTATTTATTTAGTTCATTTAGTAGTTATTGCTCTCTCAACTCTTCCCCAATTCTCACACCCCACCCCTTATCCACCCAGCTCTGTGGATGTCCCTCTCTCTGTGTTATAAATTGTTTATGACCAATTTGTTCCCTTCAAATACCCTTGGATGTGTGGTCTTCAACTGGAGAGTGGTCAACTTACCGGGGCCTGTACTGTACTCTTAGGGATCTCTCTCTCTCTCTCTCTCTCTCTCTCTCTCTCTCTCTCTCCTAGCAGCCATCATTCCCAACAGCAACAGCTCTACAATCTGGGGTTTGGGATTGTGTGCCCAGCTCCTTTGTCCTGGCTGAGATTTGGTCTGGGTTGGGCTTGCATGTCGCGCCCGCCTCGCCAGCAAGGAAGAACGCAACGCCAGAACTCTTCTCACAAGCAGTTTTATTCAGGACCTTTTTCACAGTTCTCTCTTTTCCTTCTCTTCCCCGGGCAAGCCTCTCCCAGCCCTGATATAGCCAAGGGCTGCCAATCCAGGTTCGCCACGTGGGCACTGCCCATAGGCCCACACTAATACAAGCAGCTTACGATCATTGTATGATCGTAGCATGAGCAGGGATGAAGCCAAAAAAGGAGTTGTTTGTCTCTGAGAGCATCTGCTTTCAGGATCGTGGAAGCCAGATGCCAGCACCATTTTCTAGGTGCGGCTCCTGTATACTCCATATGGCTCTCCACACTTGCACAGGTGTTGTGTGTGCCGTCTCAGCCACCAGGAGCTCAGGCCTACAGCTGCCCTGCTGTGTCCAGAAGCAATGTTTCCTTGTAGTCATCCCATGCCTCAGAGGTTTGCAGTCTCTCGGGACCCTCTTCCATAAATATTTAGCTTTTGAGATTAAGTGTTCAGCATATGAACTCTGGGGGCACATCAGAATCTCACAACTGCTGTTGGCCAAACATCTTGTATATAGTCAATTCATCATACATTTATGCCTTGCTGCAGCCATTATGAGGTCTAACATGCTTCCACTCATTGCCCTTGTTACACGTTACCTGAAGTTTACTCCTTAGTGTTAGCACGGGGCTGCCCTTATCTGTGTCCTCTCCAAGTGAGCATTTTATTGTGAATATGTGTGGTGATTAAATCCTGGGGGCACAAGGTCTCCCCATATAGGCCTGGCTGGCCAGTCACAGTGATCTCCTGCCTCCCAAGTGCTGGGTTAAAGGCACGCACCACCACGTCTCTCTCCGCAGTGAGATTTTCATAGAGGCGGAAGCGGTAGTAGTGAAAGTTGCCTCGGTTCCTCTGCCTTCCTCCCTTCCCAGTGTCTTTTAATGGCTCCCGTGGAAGAATCTATCCACATCGCTCAACTGGAGCTGCACAGGGAACAGGAGTTTCTGGGAAGATGTCTCTGTCTGGGGTGGATTAGCTCAGCAGCTGCTAACTGATACTTGAGCTGGACGTAGCAGGTGCTTCAAGGTCAGAGGACCTCCCCTTCCACAACTGCACCTGTGTGCTCGCATTTCACACACACACACACACACACACACACACACACACACGAGAGAGAGAGAGAGAGAGAGAGAGACAGAGACAGAGAGAGAGAGAGAGAGAGAGAGAGAGAGGCATGAGTCTAGTACTGTGAAGAATGTCAACTATCTCACGAGAAGATGCAGCTACAGTGACAAGAGATGAAAGCTTTACCGTGTTATAACTCTTTGCTATTCCAAGACTAGACTGCTCACTTTTCCATTCTCCAAGCCCAAGAACAGATACTCAAATCATGTAGAGATTCTGCCAAGGCTCCTGGGAATGGAGACACCAATGGAATTAGGGAAAGGACGTTCGTTCTACCTGTGTCTGACTGAGCATTCTGTTGCTTGGGCCTCCGTTTTTTTCACCAGGAAACTAAGGGGAGTGGATGAGCTGATTCATTTACTTAGACAACTGTAGAGAGCAAGGTCCCTAGTACTGAGAAGTTCAGAGAGTGTTTCAGGATGTTTTCATGGCGTGGGGGTGGGGGACAGTTACAGACTTGGGCCTGGCACAAGTTATTCGGAGTAGCATAATAAGACGAGATGCCCCGTGAACAGACAACCCTTTGCATTTCTCAAATTGCATTTACAGTTGCTACATCCTCACAAAAGTTCTCGGCTTCCCATGCTGACTTACACATTATCTCCCTGGTAACTATTTATAACTCCCTAGTTGCACAGGTGTTCCTCTTCTTTGTGAAACTGTGAATTCCGTGAAACCCGTGATGATTGCACCCTGAAGTCCATGTGAGGCTTCTTAAACATCATGTGTACCGGTAGATCAAAGGCAAACGCACATATCAGAGGCAGTCCTAATACGGACTGGGTGAAGCTGAATGGCTTTTACAGTCAGCTTTATTGAGCTGTACATACCCTGAAACTCACCCCATGTGAGTGTACAGTTTAAGGAATCATGACAAATCTGTGTCATTTTGTAGCTATCAACATGGTTATTTACAATGTTCCAGACCCCTTCCAAATTTCCCTGGCCTTTGACAGGCTTGCTTTGAGGTGTAAATCTATCTTCAGCTTTTATTAACTACAGTTTCTCACTTCTCCTTTATGGTTTCTGCTTTCTGTTATTCTGTTTAAGAAATATTTTCTTAATTTGAAATCACGGAGATTTACACCTGCTTGTTACGACGTTTTTAAAAAAATAAAATGTTTTAGCTCTTAAGTTCTAGTGTAATTTGCTAAGTTTCATATGCAAGGTGAGGCAGGAGGGCATCATTCCTTGTCTTGGTTTTCGGATACCTGTCATTTGTTGCACCGACACATTTTTCTTTCCTTTGCTGAAGATTTCCCCTTCCTTCTAGAAACGTAGCTGGCTGCACATGTGAGGGTTTGTTTCTCGGTTCTGTTCTGCGCCATTGCTCTGCATTTTCTCCATCAGCTGATTATATTATAGTTTACAAAACCTTCACACGAATAAGCTCTGCCACCTTTGATCTAGCTTCAAAATGATTTTTTACTATTTATTATTCTTACTAATCTCTTGAAGAATTAACTCAGTTTTATTGGTTTTCTTTATTTGTGATCGGTTTTCTATTTTGCTATTTCTATTATTTGTTGTTTGTCTCCTTTCTTACTCCTTATCTTTTTTATTTTTTATGATGAAAGCTTGGGTTGTGGATTTGTTGTCTTTCTTGTTCTTCAATATGAATGTTCCAAGACATAGAACTCATTGCTTTCACTGGATCCCACAACTTTTAGTGTGTTGTCTTTTCTTTTAATTTTATTCAAAACATCTGTTGATGAACATGCTGATTTCCTCACTGAGGCATGATTTATTTAGATGACGGTTGCGAAAGTATGAGACATTGGGGATTTTTCTCCCAGAGTTTTTTTCTGTATGACTTCTAATTTGATTTTGCTATGGAAACAGAATTGTTCTATATGCGCTCACCCTTCTAAGTTTATTAAGTTTACAACCTAGGATGTGACTCAAGTTGGAGAACATGAAAGTGTTCTGTGAAATACAGAAATTTCCTGTTATGATTGACACTTTCTATAAATGTCAGTTATGCCAGTTGATGATGATGTTCTAGTCTGATCTACTCGTTCTGATTTTCTGCTACCAGCTCTATCAATGACTGAGAAAGGAATTGGAGATCACGTATTATACTTAAGAATTTACTTAGACATTGCAGACCTATTGGGGGTTTTGCCTCTTCTATTTTGAAACTTCTTGTAGGTACTTTCATATTTAACGTTGTTACGTTTTTTTTTTCTTCAAGAACTTACTCCAAGATGAAGTGTTTCTTAATAACAGACTGTATTCTCTGCTCATAGCAGAGCAGCCTGCTCTGAGGTGTGTGTAGATGATTCTCATTCGCTTGCATAGGTCGTGGCTGCTGTGCTTGGTGTAATCCATGGGTGGTGGTGCAAGGGAGGAGCCTGGAGGAGGGTGGTGCTGGATAGCAGCCCTCAGGGAAAACTTCCTGGCCTGGGTCCAGCACACCTAGCTTCCATTCTTCCCTCAGCCACGCACAGGGCCGAGAGCAGCACGTGCCAGGAGGGTTGAGAGACTTGAGCACGTGAGCTAAACTTTTTGGTCAAACGATCCATTTGGCAGGGCTCTGCTTTCAGTTTTGATCTCAGCTGATTTATCAGCTAATATCTCTCTCTCTGAACATTTTCGTGACACCTATGCCCGAGGTTGTCCCTTAAGTAATTTTGAGTAAGTACCTAGAAATGGAATTGTTAGGTTGTACGGTTGTTGTGTGGCTAACTTCACTAGAAACTGTTAACCTGTTTTTCACAGTCTCTTGGTTTTGTGCTTCCACTAAGAACGGAGGTGCCCCAGCTCCTCTCCTCTCCATGTTAGCTGATGAGGCAGTGCATCATCCTTTACATTTTAGCCACTCTAATGCGTATGTGTGATCTTCCTTATGGTCTAATTCGTAATTTCTTGACAATTAGTTCTGCTAAGCTTCATTTCATATACACACACTGAAGTTTGCCAGAGAACCACAGAGGCTACTGTGTTGTGAGTGGGTGACGTCAAGCACTAGATGGCCTGTTGGCTGAGAAGGACTGATCCCCGTGCCCAGAGGAGATGCAGGGGTCTGTCCTGTACCTGGTTCTTTCTACCTGGCATGCCATCGTCTCAGATGGAGTCTCAGTAGCAGCGTAGGTCCCCATACCTTAAGGATCATCACCCTCATGGAGGAGGGGGTTATATGCAGGTTAAATTCAGTGACTTATTAAAGTCAGAAGCAATGGGAAAGAGTCAGCAAGGAAATGCAACTCATAGCTGACTGGCTTATCATCCAGAATCCAAAAATGTACATGGTATAAAGATGTTCCCAGAAGAAAAAAGTAATTAAGCTGATGAAAGAAGAGAGGAGAGGAAAGGGCTTGGAAGGAGGAAGAAAGCAAGAACTGCAAAGGGTAGAAAGCTAAGTAGAGGGCTGTGCCTGCAGCTAGTCCTTATTTCTTAGGCGCTCAGAGCTGCTCTGTTTCCAGATCTGCACCCCTATCGAGTAGCGACCCACCCAACGTTCCCATTTTCCCAGGCCAGGATGAGCAACAGGCCGAAGTCCCAAAGCTGTCGGCCAGCACAAAGCTCTGTATCCCTACCCAATGCTGCATGTAAAGAAATGAAGTCATTTTTATACAATGATCTTTGAGACTAACCCATCTGCCGTGGCGTCATAGGAAACATCCCTCCAACCGCCACTGGAGGCTGAGGTAAGAAATGCAGGCAGCAAGAGGGCCTGGAAGCGTCTATATTTGAGATTTGTTTCACAAGGTATTCATTACATTTAAAAAAGAAAGAAAGGAAAGCAAACATAGACCGGAGACCAAGAACATGATTTCCCTTGAGTGTGACTCTATGTCTTGTGTTCTTTGAAACGATCTACTTAATTTTCCAAAGCAAACAGAAGTGAATGAAAATTCAGCCATGTTCCCTACACTTAATTGAGTGACTCAGGGTATCAAGTTATTTTCAAACAGAAGCCCCGACTGAGATCGATTGCTGTGTGTTTTACAAGACGCAGGCTTACATGTCACTGTTCTGTGGGCGTGCTTGTGTTGGATTTCCCTCTGCAGGATGGAAAGTGAGACCCGTGGTGCTCAGGAGTGACCTCCGCTTGCTGGGTAGCATTGCCAGGGTTTAGTCATCCTAGCAACTGTGGCATGTGATGGGGAGATGCAGACACTTTTATGTAAAATCCCTGTAAGGGGGATTGAGGTTTTCCACAGCAAGCAAGCTTCAGTGAGACCATTCCATTAACACTGCTTTTGCATTGCCGTCTCGTAACGCTGCCACTTCACGTGGTTTTTGTACTTTTTTCCTCCCTTCTGCTGAGAAAGTGACATTCTAATAATTATCAGTGTGTGTGTTTTACTGAAAGGTCAAATACACAAACCAATCCTGAAATTACAGGTTCTGCTTCACAGGAGCAAATAGTAAATGTCACTTTAATGGAGAAATAAAATGGATACATCCATTTAAAAAAAAAAAAGCCAAATACTATGTAAACTGTTTGCAGCCATGTCGTGAGTTCATTTCCCTAGGTTGTGTGAGTGGGCACTAGGGGGGGCTCTAGGGGAGCTGGGCACTAGGGAGGGCTCTAGGGGAGCTGTGCACTGGGGAGGGCTCTAGGGGAACTGTGCACTGGGGAGGGCTCTAGGGGCGCTGGGCAGTTGTGAGGGTTCTAGGGGAGCTATTGAGACAGACATGGTCAAGTCTGTGTCTCACACTTTTTAGTATTGTGCTGTTCCGGTTTAGCCTCAGACCCTTCTAGTCCTGCCCTTCCTACCTGTTATTTTGTCTTCGCTGTGTCTCTCAGTGATTCCCATGAAGAGGAACACTGTCTCAATACACCCCAGACTCCATGGCTCGTGGTGTGCCCTGCAACATGTGTGCACAGAGCTTCATCTCATTAACAGAGTCTTCCACAGCCAATCTTTAATTTAATCCCCACACCAGCTCCTCACAGAGATGAGGATCCTGAAGACTTCCTCAGAATCACAGAGCAGCTGGGCGCTCCCTGCGTTTGTCTCCGGCCTTCACCTCAGAGTGTGGTGTGTGGGGCGGAGGCCACACTAGGATTTAAGAAGAGCGGATGAGTCTCTGCTCATTTGGATCCGGGTGGCTAAGAGACCCCCTGCTTTGACTCACCACTCCTGATTGGTTCCATAGCTTTGCAAAGCACCGGGGGGGGGGGGACATGTCTAGGCCCTCTCTTGGGTTCATTGCAAATGAGAGTGATCCTCCTTGAGTTGTGTTTAAACTAAGACACTCCTGTCTTCCACTGTTGAGTTAGCCCCATCTTGAATCTCATATTTGATCTGTTTGCTTAGCGTAATGTAGAGAAGCTCTTGTATGAAAAGCTATGGCTTCTGCTCAGTATGAACAAACACAAACATGGAGCCCACACAGCTGTCAGACCCATACCTGGAAAGAAACCTGACTTCACATCAACACCGATAATCTGCTCTTCGCTCTGACCCTGTCATAAGAACCCTGTCTGACACAGGCAAAGCAGGACACACTCCAGCATCCTCCTCAGGGCTGAGGAAGTGAATCAAAGGGATGCTGTCTGCCACCTGAGGATGCTGCTCGGGCCTCTGCTTCCCAAGGAGGATCTGCTCACGACCAGAAAGCCTTCATCACCTCATCACTCCCTGTGGGACCGGAAAGTCTCTCAAGAAGAGAGGTTCTTGAGTGAGTGTGTTCCTCCCTGGTCTGTTTGGAGAATCCCTATTTTTTCTTCCCTAGCATTCATGAAGATTGGATACACTTTTCAGAGCTCTGGGCTTCAAACAATGCATGCTGCTTGCATTGTTCGAAGCAGGAACGCCCATGTGCTTGGGAAAGGTGTGCCTATGATGTTTCCAAGGCTCAGAGTCACAGAGTACACTCTGGTTGCTTTCACGATGAGCTGGCCAAGGACCCCGGCTGTTCTTATCTTCCCACGCTGAGTGTATAACACTTAAGCTACCCAAGGTTCACAAATGCTAAGCAGACCTGGGTTTCTTCTTTTTGAGTAAGCATTCTGGATACTCGGGATTTCTGCTCATATCTGCTTCAAACACTGGCCTTAATTCTCTATCCAGCCTAGCAGGTACAGGGTGGATGCTGGACGGCTTCACTTTGGCAACCTCAAGCCTTATTCTTCCTATCCACTTTCCTCAAAACGAGCAGATGTTACTATAGCCGGGCAAGGGTTCTTTTGAACTGACCTAAAAAGAGTGGCATTTAACACACAGCAGTCTCCAGACTCTGTCAGGTTGGATTTCTCACTGGCACCCGCTGCGGCTCTCAGACACTGGGATGTGGCAGCCCGAGTGTGGGCACTTGGGTCCAAACCCTCCCAACTCCAGCAAACCCTTCAATGGCCTGGCATCATTGATCTCTTGCAGTAAGACACTGGCATCCCTAAGAAGTATGTTATCTGGTGGGTGCACATTAACTCATCACCATCCATGAATGTCTCCATTGCAGTACGTCTGCTCAACGGAAGAGCAGAAGCCAGCTATGGTAAACTGTAACCGGGCACAGTCAGGAGTGGCTCGGGGAATGATCTGTGGAGAAGGGCGAGTATGGGAAGAGGCTGCCAGGCAGCTGGGGTTGCTCATGGCTGGTAGCAATGAGTTCACTTCTCCACTTTGGGCCAGCTTAAAAGAATGTCCCTCCTAGGTGTGGGTTCAGACACTTGCGTCCAAGCGAAAGCCAAGACAGCACCTGTTCAGTTTTATTTCTCCAATGGAGCACACGAGGCAGGTGCATTAGGTCACGTGGGCTGCTGACATAACCCTGTAAGCCAGCCACGTGCATACTCTCACATGCCTACACCCGACTAGACCCTACGATCGGCACCCGGGGGCTGATTCGCTCTCAAGTCAATCTGACAGCAGTTTGATGATTTCGGTGTCAAGAATCTTGTCACAGATTCACTCTGGCTCCCCTGGGTCTTAATTCATCACATCGAACGTAGAAATCAATCCAAAAGCTGCACTGAGTATTTTTACTTTTTTGAAACAATTTCCTACAGAAAATAACTTAACAAGAGCCGTGATCTGGGGCTGTGATACAGACCAGTGGCAGAGCTGATGTTTAGTGTGTGCAACGAGGCCCTGGGTGTCAACTCCATCCCCACTCAAAACAAAACCCTCTACAAGCCTTATCAACAAAGCGGTCTAAGTGACAAACCAGGCCCAGACAACAGACATGTTGGCAGATGCGTCAAGATGAGAGGCAGTCTCCACTCCCACCCCCGTCCTCAGTTCCAAGCACAGCCACTGTGCAAACCCCATGACAGGCGCTGCACAAGCTAGCACTGCAGCAGAGTCAAGGTGGCAGGGTTCTGCAGTGTTGCAAGGTGAGGAAGTCAGTAGTAGACCCTTGTAGGAGGGAACACATCCAGCCCAGGGTCTGGAGCTTCCCCGCTTGTCCCGCAGATCACACAAGCACATCTCATCGTTGCTCATGGAACTTCTAAGTGCAGATTTTCACATCAAGTCACTTCTGAGAAAGGAAGACGGGGGGAGGGGACATAAAATTTCCCATCATCGCCATTTCTTATTGTACGTGGCAGCAGTGATAACTGTATTCATATTTTGTAGCTAATCCTGGACAGTTTTTTTTTATCTTGCAGAAATAAAATGTTATGCCCGTTAAACAAAAATTTTAATCCTGTCTCCCCTGGCCCCAGGCCCTGGCAACCGCAGACATTCACTTACCCCTTCTCAAAGGGAAACAGGACCAAAGGGAAAGAGAGCACCCTGTGCATTGAGAGTCTTGTCTTACAATAGACAGAACACTCAGTCAAACTCACTGAAGGAGAACATAGAGGAAAAGTCCATCATTTCCTCCAGCCGCGTGTGCATGTGAATTCTGACCAAACTCCTTTCATAACTGAGATGAAGTCAAGTCTGCTTCTTTGTTCCACTTCCAGGTTTCTTTTCATGCTGAAAATTGTATTTGTTCAATTATCTGTGGTCGGGTGGTCTTCGAGCACAGTGTCAAATGGTGGCTGCACGGTTTGGTCACAGTGTTAGCACTTTTACTAGCAAGGAGGGCACGGAGTCAGGAATGCAGGGCAGCTGGTCACGTTGTAGCCTCGGTGGGGCAACAGAGAGGTAAGTGCTGCGTTCAGCAGCTTCCTCCTTTCCCTGCTTTTGTTCAGTCCGGGACCACAGCCCAGAAATGCTGTCCACCTTCAGAGTTGGTCTTGAGTCCGCGATGAAACCTCTGTACAAAGGCCCTCACGGGCTGTACTGGTGCATCTCCTCGGCAACTCCGAGTGCAGCCAAGGTGGCAGCGGAGATTACGCACCCCCACCACCTAAGGAAAGTGTTAGAACCTAGAAGCGATGCAGGGCTTCTTTTCCTCCTCACACAGGTCAAAGCTAGCCACAGTCGACACTTTGTTCTGCTCTATCTTGCCAACAAATGTTTGAGAGAGCCCAGCGCATAGGATTCCATTTCAAAGGAAGACTGCAGGAAGAAACTATGTTTTCGGTTTGCTGTGCGGTGGTTTCTCTCCCTCCTGAGATAATAGCATAGAGAGTTGGACCACTCGAGATGTATGGAAGACCATCATAGAGGACCATGATTACCACACGCCAAAAGAGTCATACCATAGAAATCGCCTCTGGTTCTGGGAAGGTCCAATTACCATACAATTGTTTTTTCTCACTGGAGGTTCTTGATGCTATATAATTCCACCAGAAATAGCCTCCAGGTCATTCTGTGTGACAGAGGAGCCTCTTCACTGTAGTAAGGAAGAAGAGGGAGTAGAGGGAAGTACAAGGAGAGAGGACAGAGAGGGAGGACTGTCTGGCTAGAGAGCAGGCATGCACAAAGTGCTTCATGTATGTTACTTTATTCAGTCCTCGTGATCTAGGATCTCATTTTCATTTCTCAGAAGAGAATGCTAAGCCCAGAGCGGCTAAGTAACTTGTCCACGTCATACAGCTAGTGAGCAGGCGGTCTGGTGTCCTAGTCTGTTTCTCTGTCGCTGTAGGCAGACGCCGACCAAAAGCAGCTTGCAGGGGGAAGGTTTTGTTCGGCATAAAAGTTATAGGCCAGCCTCCAGGGAAGCTAAAGCTGGAGATTGAGGCAGGAACCCGAAGCAGGGATCATAGGAGATGTTGCTTACTGCTTGGCTCAGTTATTTCTCTTACACAGCTGTGGTAGTTTGAATGGAACTGGCCCCCATAATCTCATAGGGAGACGCACTATTAGGAGGTGTGGCTTTGTTGGAGTGGGTCTGGCCTTGTTGGAGGAAGTGTGTCACTGGGGTGGTGGCTTTTGAGGTTTCCTATGGCTGGAATAGCTCCCAGTGAGTCAGTCGGTTTCCTGTTGCCTGTAAGATGTAGGACTCTCAGCCCCAGCATCACGTCTGCCTGCACGCCTCTGTGCTCCCTGAAACTGTAAACGAGCCACCCTCAATTAAATGTTTTCTTTATGAGAGTTGCCAAAGTCATGGTGTCTCTTCACAGCAATAAAAATCCTAACTAAGACAACAGCCCCTATCTGTCTACCCAGGAATAGTACCACCCACGGTGGCCAGGTCGCACACAGCAATGAGCGATAAGAAAA